CTACTTGTCGCCTGGCCCTGCCCTCTGGCAGCGAGGGTGCAGCCATCCCTGTGCTGGTTTAACCAGTTCCTCTTCAGCCCCCCACGAGCCGCAGAATCAGCATGCTGACACTCTGTGGCCATGTGTGGTGGCCCCTGCACATCCGAAAGGGAAACTTCCTTAGCTTAGCGAGGCCTGAGAACTTATCAGATGAGCCACCAGGCAGAGGTCCCGGCAGCAGCAACTCTCCTCCTTCTCTCAGTCTCACTGAGGCCAGATAGATTTGGGTTTGAATCCTGGCTCTGCCCCTTACTGGCTGTGTGTCCTTGGTCAAGTTAATTTTTTTTTCTTTTATTTCAACATATTATGGGGGTACAGATGTTTAGGTTACGTATGTTGCCCTTGGTCCTCCCCCCGAAGTCCGAGTTTCAAATATGTCCATCCTTCGAGTGGTGCGCATTGCACTCCTTGTGTATGCAAATACCCGTCCCCTCCTCCTTTCTCCCCCCTCCCCCCTGCCCAACATCCAATAGATGTTATTCTTATATGTGCATTTATGTGTTGATTAGTTAATACCAATTTGATGGTGAGTACAAATGGATCCCGTTCTCCTCTTGTGGTGCCCCACTTTGGATAATGGGCTTAAGTTTAATCCAGGAAAGTATAAGAGGTGCTAGATCACTGTCGTTTCTTATGATTGAGTAATATTCCATTGTAAACATATACCAAATTTTGATAATCCACTCATGGATTGACGGGCACTTGGGTTGTTTCCACATTCTTGCAATAGTGAATTGTGCTGCCATAAACATTCAGGTGCAGATTTTATCAGTCGCTATTGCTGCATAACAAGCCGCCCCTAAACCCAGTGTTCTTAAGCCACAACCACTTGTGCTTTCTCAGGAGTTTACGTGTTGGTTGGCAGGTAGTTCTTCTGATGTGGGCTGGACTTGACCGACCCTGGCTGGGCTCACTAATGCAGCTGTGGTTAGCGGTGGGCCGGCTGAAGGGGGGTGGCCTCATCTGGGGCAGCTGGGCCCACTGCACATGCTCACCCTGCCCCCAGTGGGCCAGCCTGGGCTTGTTTTTATAGTGCAGCCGGGATTCCAAAAGACAGAGCCAGAGCGTGCAAGGCCTCTTGAGGCCCAGGCTTGGAACTACTCCCCAGCACTTCCGCCACTTTGTGTTGGCCAAAGCAAGTCTTGAGACCAGCCCAGACCTGCTTTGGAGGAGAGGAGCTGCAAAGTCACATTGCAATGGCCATGACTATGTGGGTGGTGGAATGGAGCCAACACACCATACGGCTTCGACTCTCGCAAATTCAGTTTGCTCATTTATAAAATGGGAATATTATTTGTATCATGCAATACCCTGGTGTTCTGTGTTCTTTTAGGGGATGATCTGTCAGGTGTGGCCACAATAGGGGACACAGGAGAGGCTCAGGAAAACGAAGCTCATTATACTCACAGGTCCTGGAGACAGAGTCCCGGTGTGCTAAGGGGGGTCACACAGTGCCAAGGCTGCCTGCTCAACCAAGCCAGTGGGCAGCTGAGAGAGAGCAAGGCCCTGGGGCAGGTGGAGTTGGGGTGAGCACCCACCACAGGGCATGGGTGTATCCCATGGGTGTGCTTGAAAGTCACGAGGTCACAGTCAAGGGCAGACAAAAAGGGGAACTGAGGCAGGAGCCAACATCACACACTGATCGCCTGGTCACCTGGGCAGGTGCTCACAGCCTGATGTGGGCCTCTCAGGGCAGCAGGAAAGTAGGAAGTTTTAGACTTTACAATACACCTAGGAAAACTTGGGCCCTGCATTTTGTTTCGGAAGCTAATCTTGTAAAACAGAAAAGGCAGAGGATGAGATTTGCCTCTGGAGAAGGCCGTTCGTTCGAGCTGGGACACTGTTTGAGTGGGACCCTTTAGTCACATGAGTGTAAAGAGAGTATGACGGACACAAGGCCCCAGCTCCCGTCCGAGGAAAGACCATGAAAGAACCCCAAGGCAGATGAGATGAGTGCTCTGCCAAGCATTCCTTCATTCCTTCGTTTTCCTTTCGATCATTCATTTATTCAGGGAGTTGATCGGAAAATATTTATCAAGAGCCTACAGTGTGTGAGACTCTGCACAGGAGGAGCTGCACGGACAAAGGACTGATGTGACGGGACGCGAAAGCCTCTGCTTGCTGGAGGACTGGGTGAGGCAGAGTGTCCGGGCCACCTCCTGATAAGCCATGGTGTCCAGTGTTGCCCACCGCCTAACGGAACGGAGAGCCACCTGAGGCTTCAGGCTTGGGCGGCTGTGGGACCTTGAAAGCTCTCTCGTGCTGCTGTGTGGAGAATGAACGGGCGGCTGGTGCAGTGCGCTGGAGGGAGGCTGACTAGAGACTGAGCAGGAGACGTTCCAGGCATCCCGGTGGCTGCAGGTGCCCTGGCCCGGGCCGTCGTGGCGGCAGAGATGGAGAGAATCGGCTGGACTGGGGAGAATTTGGGAGGTAGAATTGGTGGGATTAGTGCCTGGTGGGGCTGAGGGGATGGGTCAGGCCTGGGGCTCAAGGTCTCGGAGAGAGCTGGTTGCTGGGACGGGAAGCACAGAGGGGCCAGTGAGTCAGGCTTCGGCTGCCTCGCCCTGGAGGGCAGCTGTGGAGGCAGCTGGCAGACGGTTGGGTAAATACGACAGGAACTCAGGAGAGAGGCCTGCTCTGGAAGCCTAGGCGGGAAAGTCGGCAGCTCAGAGGCGGAAGATCAAAGCCCTGGGAGGGGAGCGCTGGGCGCGGCTGAGCCACAGCGCGTCTCTGAGCTGCGGTGGGGGCAGATGGGGGCGGACGGTCCACTGTCTGCAGGGATTGTGACCGTTCTGTGCCTGTAAGCTGTTGTTTGCTCCTGTGGAAAGACGGACTGGCTGTGTCTGTGTGTGTTTGAGTGTGAGTGTGTGTATATGTGTGTGGGGAGAGAGCGCACAGCATAGCTTGGAGAAGAGTAGCTGACACACAGGACTTCCAGAAGGACCTGCAGTCATGACCTTTACTTCTTAACACGCTACCCTGTCCCACGTTAGAAACACTTGCTCTTAGGATTAAGAGGAAAAATTCCTACGTTACGTATAACCCTGCACGGTGCCGCCTCAGCTTACCCCGGACAGCAGCCTGGTGTCCCACTCTGCTCGCTTTGCATTTCAGCTTCTGTCCCATCAGTCTCTCTTCAGTCCTTTACTACTAGCCAATTCCTTTGTACACGTTTCTTTCTCTGCCTGGGACAATCCCCCCGGCCCCCCACCTTCATGGAGTTAGCTCCTGCCCTGACATCGTCTGACCAGGTCACCTCTCCCGTCATACGCTCCCAACGAGCCATTTCTAGGTCCTCATAGCATTTATCACATTTATTTGTAATTATTCAATTAATATGGCTTCTCCACCATCCTGAAAGCTCTATGAGTCAGACGTCTTGTCTATATTAACTCCTAGTTATTCCCTGGGCTTAGCACCGTACCTGGCATGAAGTCGAGATTCAATAAACATTTGTTGAGTAAAAGAGTAAACAAAGGAGAAACTGCAGAAATGCCCCAGCCTGAGCTCGCAGCTCAGCATGGGTTCCCGGCACCCTTAGCCAGCAGCAGGGGGCTGTGGAGAATGAGCTCTCCAGGGTGCACCAAGGGTGAGCTCATGTGGGCTGGTGTCCTTGTCAGGGCCTGGGGGCAAGTCAGCATCCCTAGACACGTGTTGGGGGTTCCCCAGGCAGGGACCAGTCCCCTGCACCGGTCTGAGGAGGTGGATCCTGGGATAAGAAATGAGGATGAGGGAGCTGGGCCTGAGACTGCCAGGGAGGACCCTCCTCTCCTTGGCTGTCCCCTCACTTCCTTTCCCACTGTCCCCAAACGCCCTTCCTGTTTGCTCAGCTCAGACCTCCCTTACTTAAAACTGCTAGCACCAAGTCAGCCAGGCTTGGCTTTTGATAAGCACTTAAACTTAAATGGAAAAACTTAGAAAATTGTTTCTGCTTTCAATCCTATTTTCGTAGCTCTTGTCTTCCTCAAGAGGTGCAGGAAGTCAGCTCTGAGCTTCAGGCTGGGTAGATGCAGCTTTGTTTCAGGCACTGCCTGCCCTTTCCTTCCCTCGGGCAAACACCTTCTTGGGAGTGAAGGAGCAGGCAACAGTTCTAGAAGGGAGGGGATGCTGAGAGGACACAGTGGTTCCACATTTGCCAAATGCGTAATTAATCCCAGAACCCCCAATATGGCTGAAATTGTCTTCCTTCCTCTCGGACCTACCATTCCTATGCCACATGCCAGAGAAAAGTACATGATTCTAGAGGCATCTGCCAAACTAAAACAGCCAGCTTTCAAGGCCCCCTCCTCTCTCACGACCCAAGCCCTGCTGTCCCCAGCAATGCTGACACTTGTGCTGGGTTGTGCAGCTGTAGCCTCTGAAAGGGTTCTGGGCAGTTAGATGAGGTCTCGAGGGCAAGAGAGAGGGAGAGAGAGATCATGTGATTCCACTCAGAGAGTACATATCCCAGGCAAACGCTGGCAAGAAAGAGGGGAGCCTGCCACTTAGACAGGGTGAGCTCCTCCACCTTCTTGATTTAGTTCAGTCATTCAACAAATCTTTACTGAGCCCCTACAGGGGTGGACCAAAAAGACAAAAGTCCCATTTCTGGAGCTCACATCCTAATGAGAACTAGTTTTCAGGCTTAAAGGCACAATTCATATTTATTACGCAACGTGGTGCCAACTGCAAGCCAATCTCTTCATTTGCTGGGCAGCCAAAGATATGGTAAGCATCTCCGATGCCGGACAGAGAACGCGCCGCCACGGAGGCTGTCTGAATGGTTGAGGAGATGGTCAAGACTAACTGTGACTACAGGTGACCTTCACCTTCTGCATCGCGTCCTCCAGCCCCGCTCTCCCCCGGCTAGAAACTGCGATCCACTGTCCCTGTGTGCACGCACATGGGAGAACTCGACGCAATGTTGTGTGCACTGAGTGGGCACATCGTTAAAGGATGGGAGGTTCTAACTCGGTGACACTCAGCCACAGCCTGCGATGTTGCCAGGTAACACTTTGAGCTTTATTAAAGACCCCTCCGCAGAGGCTTCTCAGCCGCTCCCAGGGAACCCTTCAGAGAGCACTGCCTTCTCCCGCGTGAGCAGCGGACAGGGCAGAGCGGGGAAGGGCTTCCAGGTCACGTGCTGCACTCCACGCCCGCATCCTCACTGTGGTTGCAGTTGTGGGAGCCCCAGCTGCTCTTCCTGCAGTACCACAGGCTGCTCTCTGTCCCGTCACAGGCGACATCATCCAGCCAGATCTGCCCCGTGCCTTGATACAGAGAAAGGGAGGACGGAGAGAGGGAGGGAGAGAGGGAGAGGGAGAGGGAGAGGGAGAAGATGAGAGAGAGAGAGAGAGGAGAGACTCAAACAGAGCAGCCACATTGGTGTTTCCCTCTGGGGTAGACTGCTAAATTCTCCCACGTATATTCAGGAAGCCCAACGTGATAATGGTTAGTCTGGTCTTTTGTAATGACTCTGCCTCTCTTCTGTTCTCTACCTTTTGACAAAAGTCTCATACAAATATTTCATGCCTAATTCGTGCACTGTCTGACATCTCCTCCCGGGGAGTGTCCCAGCCTTTGGTCTTCCCCCGCTAATTCACTGCAGCCACCTGCACCTTCCTCACGTGCCTCTCCAGCCACGCCAGCCCCCTGCTCTGCGGCAGGCACGCCCCTCTCAAACCCTTCCTCCAGTGTAGTTGAAGAGCGTTGGACTATTCCATTACAGTCATTTACATGATGATATGACAATCTATAGAGGCTTAACCCACGTGAGGAATAAGTGTATTTTGAAGCAGTTTTGCAGTCCAACTGGACTCAGACTAAAATGCAGGTATTCGCTTTGGGGTGGGGTGAGGACAGAGAGCCTTTGGGGTTGGAAGCGGGGGAAACTGGCCTGTGTCCCTGGCTGAGTCAGCTATTACGGCCAAAGAAAGGGGCTCAGCCCCTGGGACTTAACTCCTTTGCTCAAGGTTTGAACCTTTGGCTGAAGGACACAGGCTGCATCCGTGGTGCCCTAGGACAGCTTCCCTTCACTGATTTCATTACTGCCCCACTCTGATTGTTTTCTCTTCCCTTTTCACCTTCTCTTTAGAGACGATCACAGCCAAGGCTGCTGGGCAGTCCAGGCTGCTGGAGAGATGCCGTGCATGGCTGCGTCTTCCTCCCGCTCCTCCAGTTCCCGCAACACGGCTGCCCCGCACTCACCCTTGGGTGGGTGGCACTCTGACTCCAGGACTGGGCAGACACTGAGCCAAGCCAGGCCAGTCATAGCCCCAGGCAAACCTTCGCTGTGGCTGCTGGGGAACCTGGGCCTCCCTTCCCCCGGGGTGGCCAAGCTGGAAGGACATAAACCTGGAGCCCTGAGCTGCAGAACTTTTCTGCTGCTTGAACCAATACTTTTCTTTTAACCCCAGCCACACTGAGTCACCTGCAAGCGTGAGAATGCCACGTCAGCAGCGCAGGGGAAGACGTGCCTGGCTGCTGACTCACTTACCAGCTCCCACTTTGTAAAGGGCCCTTCCGCTGGTGTAGCCCAGCATGCGGCAGAAGACGGTGGCATCGGAATTGCCCCAGTCATCATCGCAAATCGTCCCCCATATATTGTTATAGAGAACTTCAGCCCGGCCTCGAGTGCTACTGCCGACGATCCTGACGGAGATCAGGGATTCACCTGGGGGGAAAAACACACGTGGGGGGCAAGGAAAGCGCCTGGGGCTTTGTGTAAACACAGGCTCTTCCTTTTCCCTTGGGGTGCTCTATAGTTATGGCAGAGAAACCCCCTCGCTTGGCCGTCACCAGAGCCTGGAAGATCCCACTGTATGGCACCAACACAGCCTGGCGTGCAGCCTCCGCGTACCCGGGCCTGTAGGCGCCAGGCTGTCAGAGCAGGTGTCTCTGCGGCCGGTTTGCAAATCCCGTAGAACATGTCTTGCCACGTGTTGTGGAGAGAAGAAAAGAAAAGCTGAGTGAGAGAAGGGCGGAAAGAGTGGAGGGAGAGAGGAGGAGGAGGGAGGGAGGGAAGCCGCGAGCCGGGACTGTGTGCCGTGGGCAGGCTTACTCGAGGGCTGAGTCCATCAGCTTTTTCCAAAAATGAGGAATTGCTTTGAGAACCAAGGCCTCTCCCCCTAACACACATAATTTTCAAGTACAGAATTGACTCTAAAACACAAATTAAAGAGAATAGAAATAGCAATTTACCTTTTTGACCTTTTTGTCCCTTTAGTCCTTGCTGTCCAGAAGACCCTGTCATGAGGAGAAAACCCACACACTTTGGAGGAAACCCGGCCAGGACGTCCTTGCCCTCACTGGCCAGGAGTGGGGGGTGGGTGGAGGGGTGGGCAGGAGGTCTGCAGGACTTCCCCTGCAGCCTCACCTGTGATCTGTCATCACGGGGACTGGATGTGCCATGGCTGGCAATGGTTGAGCAAGAAGAAATGGGCAGGATTGAAGTTGGATTGGTGAGGGCCGTTGGACAGGTGAGAGGCATGGAAACTGTCTGGGGGCGTGGGCGCGGATGGGCATGGCCCGCGTGCACGTCCACGCACCTTCGGGTGTGCCTCTCCAAGGCCGGGCCGAGCCTCGTTCTGTGCTCTGTGCCTGTCAGCTGAGTAAGTAAACCTCTGCCCTCCTGGGTCCTGAAAACCCCCAAATCTCTTAAAACAGGGCCCAAGAACCCACGAGTCAGAAACAGAGGCCTTACCTTTCTCTCCTGGGTCTCCTTTTTGGCCAGCTGGTCCAGGTGCTCCCTTGGGGCCTGCCAGCCCGGGGCTTCCCTGTTCCCCTTTACTGCCTGTGGGGCCTGAGAGGAGGAAGCCCACCCCTGTCAGATGCCCAGCTCTGCTTCCCCGAGGGCGACCCAACGGCCTCGGCGTTTAATGGGTAGGTTGTCCTTAACTACCAAGTCTCCCCTAGAATAATGGGTGGTGCGAATGTTCAGCCTGTGTCTTTAGTCCAACGGGGGGCTGCTCTGATCGCCTGACTCCCATGTAAATGCTGTGGAGAACACGCAGGTGGAAGTAGCTGGCAGGATTCCACAGGTTGTTGGTCCCTCTGGGATTACTTAATTGTATGGAAGTTCTAGCCATTCAGGGAGAATTTGCTAGAATGTTTCTAAGCCTCAATGTCTTCATTAGTAAATTAAAGTAGTAATAGAATATTTAGCTCAAGAGGAAGAAAGGTGCGTAAGAAATGTGTCTGAGAAGTTTTGTTTTAGCGTCCACGAGGGTAGGGCTTTTGGGAAGACCAGAGATGCTGTGCAACCAGTGCCGAGCTCAGCGGCCAACCGTGAGCACAGGTTTGTGGGCGAGGATGAGGATAAGGACACCCAGTGGAGGGGAGGGGCCAGGGCCAAGAGGAAGAGGAAAATGGACCACAGCAGAGACCAGAGGCACCAAGCCGGGGCTGGAGAGGATGGTTGCACAGCTCCCTGGTGGCTGCATAGCCTGGGGACCCCACCAGCTGAGCCCCCGCCCCACACCCTACACCCCTCAGGACGCCGAGTTCCTGTCATCCCCCAGGTCTTCCAGGGGAAGAATCGAGGCTTCTGTGACAGAGCCCTGGAATCTTGGCCTCGACTTTGGGGGAAGGTCACAGCTGTGTGTCCAAGGTCAACAAGCGCCCCCTGCAAGCAGGCAGGCTTTCCAGTCATCGTTCTGAGAGATTAAAATGAAGCCAGCCCTTTACCTGGAACTCCTGATTCTCCTTTTGTTCCTTTCTGTCCTTGAAGTCCTAAGATCAAAACAAAAAAGGGGGGAGGAGATAATAGAACTTAGATATTAGACACTTTTAATCTTAGACAACCTCTACCTTTTGTCTGATTAATGCAGATGGAAAGATACATTGGTTCTCCACAATTGTTTAAAGACTCTTCGGCCGAGCATAAGAGGAGACAGTCTGCAGACCGGAGGAGACAGGAGTGTGGGAGGAAATGGCAATGTGCTGGGTGAAAGCCCGGGTTAGACAGACCCCAGATGCTCCAGCCGGCCTCCTTGCCCACCGATAACGCCACTTGGTGTCTAACCGACCTCCCTTCTTTGCTGTGGCATTTTATTGGAAGAGAATTGAGAGATATTTTGAAAATAAAATTATCTTGAATTCCAAAAGACTGGGAAGGGGACTTGGTGGCCACCAGGAGCTTTGGGTGTCCTCACCCACAGTAGATGCTCCATCAGTGTTTGTTGGTTTATTTCATTTGGCCCCAGTGTGGCTGAAGATTCAGGTGGCTAAAGGGTCTCATGTCCAGAAAATGGAAAAATAATAAGTGTAATCACTGGTGACGAGCCTACCTGTAGTTAATGTGAAATGTCCTCCCTCCCTCCTTCCCTCCCTCCTTCCTTCTGTCCAGTCATTCATCCCTTTATCCAGTAAACTTTCGTGGAAGACCCACTGTCCCCAGCACCCAGCGGGGTCACTGTGGGATAATAACTTGCTCATTTAGTGACACCGTGGTATCACGATTTTAAGGCCAATATTGGTTTTATCTCAGAGAAACAGGACACCCCAAGATAGTTACGTGATCTTGGGGAAAATATAAGCTCATTATTGACCATCAAGTAACAGTTCCTAGAGGGTAATGAGGGGAATGCAGACAGCAACTCAGAGCATCTGTGCTTGTGGCCGTGCCCTTGACTGGCCTTTGCCGACGGTCCATCACGGAAACCACAGGCAGCTCAGTCATCTGCGGGGCAGTTGCCTGGGGGAAACTCTGACCCGGCCTCCCCTGCCTCCCTCTTCAATCCCTGGGTGTCCTGTGCACCTCTTCAGGCCCCTTCTTGGAACTGTGAGCAAGAGAAGTCGTGACTCCTGGCAGTGTCCCAGATGACCCACTGAGGCCTGGTGCTGCCAGGGGGAGGGGTGTCGGATAGCCAAGAAGCCAGGAGAAGTGGGGAGCACCAGAAGGTTCTGAGAGGGCGATACTTCAGTTCCTCGATTCAGGGCTGGGGACAGAGCTGAGGCTGGGATAGGTTCTTCTGAGAGTGGAGGTGCCTTTGAGGTCAGCCCCTGGCAGACAGGCCCCAGCTCCCCCAGGGCCATTTGCACACACTCCAGTCCCTCTGATTAGAATGCCTCACCCCTCTGGTCCACCCGAAGATCCCAGAGTAGGCCCATAAACCCTGTGAAGATGTCAGACGTCGTCAACTGTGAACTTTCCCTGGCCTCGCCCAGTGGATGACGTCCTTTCTCCCGAGGCAGTAAAGCAAAATGCTTCCAGAGCCAGCTGCCCAGGCTTAGTCCACCTCTGCCCTCTACTGGCTTTCTGACCTTCGGCCAGGTGTCCTTGTCTGAGCCTCAGCTTCCTCCTTGTTGCCTCTCAAGACAGTCTGAAGACTGAAATGAAGTCGTGTGTGCCAAGTGTCCAGCCAGTGCTGAATAAATGGTGCCGCGGGACCCCGTGGACCCTGTTTGCACGTGTGTCTGCCCTCCAGGTGGGGAGTGCCTGGGGCACTGGGGTCGAGGCTCCACAGGAGCATTGGGCTTGCTGCCCTGCAAGTACCCGGTAAATGTTTGCTGTTGACCCGAAGGGACTTAGCTGAGGTTGCCCAGCAGAAATGGCAGATTCTCTGCTTACTGCATGTGAATAGCATATGTCAAGATCGGCGAGAAGACCGCATTCAAATTTATGTCTATGGAGGGATTAAGTAGAAAACAGTCCACCTCTAGACTCTAGTCTCTCTCCGTCAGCATCCTACAGGGCTCCATACTGCAGAAATCTCTGCCTTAAGATCCTGTTCCTAGAAGTGAGGTTCAGGGACCCCAGGGCACTATTGTCCCATCCCTATTGTTACCACCCAAAGAGGTGCGCCTCTCCAACTGTCCTCTAAAGCACTGAGGAGCAAGCATCCCTATGAGACAGGAACCACAGGGAAGCCCCTGCTCGCCGGGTCCATGCCTTGGAGCTTGGCCCTGCCACCTTCATTCCCCCTACTGTCCCTCCTCCCAGCTCCTCTCCTCCAGGGACTCAGCATTTCTTGCCACCTGCATCATGCCAGGCACTGTGCCAAGGATTTGCACACACTACCTTGTTTGATCTTTCAGCCACCCTGCAAGACAGTGTTATTTCCCTCTTATACAGAGGAGGGAGTCAGAGATGCTAATTGAGTTAGCCAAGGTCAGGCAGGAGTGAAGGGGGAAGCTGAGGTCGTCACCCAGGCTTGGCCTCCCTCTGTGCCCTGTGGGCTCCTTTGTGCCATCAGCATGCCCGGCTCACTCCTCCCTGGAGTCTCACTTGGGCCATCTACTTGGTTCCAAAGACACCTCTAGTCTCTCTTGGCCATCCCTTTCCCCTAAAGGAGGAGTAGTCAAACTAAACTGTCCATCACAATCGCGTGGATATCGCTTCTCGGCCTTTTGGCTAAGATCAAGTGCAGAATCACCTGGAGGGGGCCTGTTAAAAAACAACTTGTTGGGCCCCACACCGAGTTGCTGATTCAGAGGGACTGGGGTGGGGACCCAAGAACTCGCATTTCTCACAAGTTCCCAGGTGAGTCTGATGCTGCTGGTCCCGGGACCACACTGGGAGTAGCACTGCCCTAAACAAATTTCACTTTCTTTGGTGAGCAGCTCACAGCCTGCCTCCTCCAAGCAGCCTTCCAGTCTCTGGAGGAACTCACAGCCCCTCACATCTGAGCTCTCCCAGAACCACAGTTCATACAGCAGAGGTTGCTCCTTGATAAAATGTCTTCTAATATGTGTTTAATGGGTGTCGGTTTTGGTTCCAAAACTTGACTCTTCATGGGAAGGAAATTAGAATTGAGGTTTGTGTGATTTCTCTCCAAGCCTCCCTGGACTCTAAGAGGGCGCTGGCTGAGTGGCTGTTCATTGACTAATCAATCGAGGGACTAGTAATTACTTCACTATAAATCAAGGCAGCATCTGATTGGATCAGCTCCTGCACATGAAAGCTGAAAAACAGGCTCTAGAACTGCATGTTTGCAAACTACACTGGAGAGCGAATGGATGCTGGATTTTTCTTCTCATCCACAAGCAAACTGGTTTTCCCTGGGTGTCACACACTTATCAAGCTGAGAGGGCCGAACACTTTTGTTTACACCACTCGCAGGCCACAGAAGAGGAAACTGAGTCCCAGCAGGGTTGCCCAGCTGGTCAGGGGCAAGTGGGAGTTGAGGCTCTGGTCTCCTGATTCCGAGTTAAGTGCAGAAATTTCCAATTCATTAAAAAACTTCCTCAAATACCATCCCAACCTGTAGGCTAGGTGCAGCCTGGCGAATTTAGGATTAATCTAATAACTGACAATTTGAGCTGCATGGCAAGAAGAAGGAGGATAGGATTCAAACTGCAGAAGCCTCTGAGAAGCCTAGAGGAAAGTGGGGAAGGGTTTTCTAAGTGACAATTTAGTAACTTGGCTTGGTAGAACTTAATATTAATAAATTCTTGGACTGCCTCAGTACTTGGATATGAGGAAAGGAATTAACTAGGAAATTATTGTCATGATGTAGAGTTTAATTGCTATTCGGATTATCTTTGTTGCTTATCTTTAAAATAAAACATCTTCAAATACAGTTGTGAAAATAGATTTCAAGTTCTTTGTATTTTAGTATTGCCCGAAGAGGCAAATAAAAAGAAATCGAGAATTCAAAGTATTATGGTTCAGGCAGAAAGGTCAATGAGATAAAAAATTTTTTCCAATCAGATTGGTGTTTCGAAGTTTAAATGTTTAGGCTACATCTAACATCATTGTCATTTCATGACGTAGAAACAGTAAAAAAAGAAATGTCGTGATTACAGGTTGAAGTGGAGTCTCTATCTCCAGACAAATGTTACTTTTCAAAGTACCTAAGGGATGTAGAACTATATTTTGGTTATTAGTTTGCAATCTTTGAAAGAGAAAAAGTTAGAAAAACTAAGTGCTGAGGATTAGATAAGAGCCTGTTTCTAAAAGGTGAAGGAAATCAACCCTTAGAGGAAGTTCTATGGGGTATAATGCCCTACTTAATAAAATGCGGCATTTATCTTCCCAGCAGAATGGCAGGAATTTCCTCTTTGTCTTATTGAATATGAGATGGCTTCTCTCCCTCGAGAGGTGCAGACAAGGGGAAACATTCCACTGAACAGGCCGGAGTGGAGTCCAGTGACTGCCAGCGGAGGTAGGAGGCTTGGTGACCAAGCCAGGATTTACTCGTCTAGCCTGGGGTAAAAGGTGAGGGGCAGGAGAGAGCCAGTCTGATTTTCTCTTGAGTCATACACTCTAGGTTCTTCTATACAACAAAATCTGGAAAAGCACAACTTTGGAATCAGACTTGGGGCTGACTCCCAGATTCAGTGTACACTACCTGTTGAGACCACGGGCAAAGGGTTTACCCTCTCTGAACCTTTGTTTCCTCAGCTGTAAAGTAGGGTTGATAAAACTCAGCTGTGTGGGGTGATAAAACTAAGATCCTGGGTCAAGTTCCAAGCACAATGTCTGGCCCAGAGACACTGGTAATAAATAATAAATGGGCCTCTCATTTCTAATGATTAATGCACAATAATGGAATCTAGCTGTTGCCTAGGTCAAGCCAATGCACTATGAAGTTCATTTTCAGCTACTGTGACTAGATATTCTCTTGAGAGATTAATGATTTTATTTACACAATGGGAAATACATCAGTTTGAAAACCTGACTTGATACATCAAATCTGGACTGTCACCATAGTAGCTTTAGTCTGGGGAATACCAACACACTGACATTGACAAGTATGCATTGTCTTCCGTGATGGGAAGATCTGGCTCCCACCCACTACCCATTCTTCCTGATCCCACTTCAGAAATTGCCACATCTAATCTCTGGAAGTTCATTAGCCCATGACTCCAGGAAGACATGTAGACCTGGCTAAGATTAATTATGATCCCATTGGAATTCCCCTCTGAGACGTCTATATGGGCCATCAGCTACTGCATCAAGGTAAGCATTTGGACTTGGTTTCACAACCTATGCAGTTATTATATAAATAGTAATTATCACACACCCCAAATTGAAAATGTCATTCACTTGGGCAGCCAGAATTAAGGGGTAACCCCTAGAATCTGACTGGCTGGTCTTTACCACTAGGTCTGATTAATGGAGAACCTCATAAAGGTGCTCAGTAGATATACAAGGACTCAAGGATGGTGGAGTTAAAACGATCCTCACACTTTGGCCAAGGGTCTCTGTGCTAAAATAGGTATACGGTCTTGGGTAGTTAACTAAGAACCATTACAGGGCCCGAGAGCTTCATGTTTCCTCCTAAGAGTGGAAGAAGCTGCTACCTTCTGCTCTGATTCTTGCTGAACTGGGATGGAGGGAGAAGGTGCCACTCATCAGAGTGCTCTGATGGGGGTTGCTGGGGAGGAAGACCCCAGGATAGAATGTAGTAAACAAAAACCTAAGCTTTGGGTTGGCTGGGCCTAGATGCAAACACTTGCTGTTTGACTTTGGGCAACTTATTGTGAAATAGCACTAACAAGAATGCTTGTCCCATTAGGCTGTCATGAGCTGCCCAGGAGCTGGAGCTAGCCTCCAGCTCTTACACAAACCCTCCCAGGATGCAGAGTACAGGGCAAGACTCCTTACCCTCAGACTGTCAAAGGACAGCCTTTGGGCCCAGGGAGTGGGCACTTATTTTATCCACAATGCTCTTGCTTAGTGAAGAACCATTCGTCTGGCAATGGGGGTGGAGGCAGAGGGCAACTGCTATTTGTAACTAGGGCTGAAAGCAAACATCTCCATGAAGCCAAGCAGAAAAGTCAGGGGCAAGAGAGCTTTGGGCCTCAAAGTCAGATGCACCCTAAGGTCAGGAATCAAATAAGATGGAATTATAAGATTAAGACGGGCAGCCAACAAGTCAGGGACATCTGACCACCATACCCTGATGGAGCCTTTCCCAGGGTAAGACCTTGCTAGTGGCCTTCAGGTGGTAGCAGGGACCCACCTACACTGATACACAATCCATGAAAATGAAAATGGCTCTGAGGCTGGGGGGGTTAGAAGAACAGAGAGGGTGAAGGAGCTACCCTTGCCGTGGTTCCTGACAACCTTCAGGAAAACCCCCAAAGCTCACAGGCCCAGAGTGCAAGGCTTAGCAGGAGGTGGTGGTGAATGAATGAATGAATCAATTAGAACTATGAAGGACCAGCCCTGGTGTGGGTCTGTAGCATGGCCCAGGGGTGAAGCATCCAGGTTGTCTGATGGCAAGCTTAACCTTCCGCTCAGGCAGAGGAGGGGCGGAGGCCAATTGGCCACAACCATCCTCAGCAGACACGCAGCCCTATGTCACGACCTGCACTCCCCAATACTTCGACCTGCTCCTGGCTTTCCAAATGGCACACAGCAATTCTCCATGCAAATGCCCAATCAGAGTGTGCCTGCACTGCCTGGGCACAGTCTCTCTGTCTCCTGCATCACCCTGTGTGTCTGAAGCTATCTCAGCACTCAACACAGCGGCCCAGACTTTCTAGACCAAGTGAACACACAGCAGGTGCCCAAACTTACTTAATGACTGGACCACACTGGAGCCATGGTTTATGAAGTAGACTATGTTGATGCAATGGCTTATAACCTAGACTGAACCGACATGGTGGTATGTGACCTAACTAGGTTGACAGGATGGTTTATAAAATAGTCTTTGTGAGTTTGGTTAGCGTGGGCCAGTGCTCCCGGCTGCACCCCTGGGAGAGCGCACAAGAAGGGGTTTCTCTACCCTCCAGCCTCAAGGGATCCTGGCAGGGAGATTGTCCCTTTTAATCAGAGAGCCTCAGGGGCAGGGGCAGAGGAGGCCCTTTGCCTTCTCCGTGGGCAGTCCTCCTCCCCGTCCATCCTGCCACCCCGTGACCCCCACCACCCACCTTCCCACACCCTTTGTTACCTGTGTCCCCTTTGGTTCCTTTAAGACCCAAGGCTCCTGGACTCCCGGGACTCCCCGGTGGTCCTGGAAAACAGACACCACACAGGGCATAAGGGCTGGGATGGGTGAGTCTTCCCACCTCACGCCCACCGCAGGACCTGGGACCTCACCTGTCTGCCCCGGGGAGCCTGCGCTGCCAGGCTCACCCTTGGCACCTGGGTGTCCCGCTGCACCGGGAGGGCCTGGAACTCCCTGTGCTCCTGGTTGTCCTGAAAGGTAAGTGGTGGCCTCAGGGCGGGAGTGGTCAGGAGAGGGCCTGGCTGCCCCGGCCCCCATGCCTTTGTCCTCAGCAGTGAGACACGAACCTCTTAACACCTCATAGTCCCTTCGGCAGCTTTAACCATCTCTCTTTAGAAGCCATGAACTAGCCCCGTGAGTGGGAGGAAAACTAGTCTCAGCAACTTGTTCACCTTTCCATTCACTGCTGCAGGGTTTGGGACTTGGGGACTTACTGGGAACTCTGAGCGTAAATGTCCTGCTGCACACCCAGGATGGCGAGGTGGGGTAAAGGTCTAAAGAGGGGTCAGTTAAGCCCACACCTGCCAGCCCCTCTGTTCCTCTTAGGAGGGGCCAGGTTTTTAAGAAACTCCAGGCTCTCTTGGTTAATACACAATGAAATAAAAGATGGTGGAGTCAGGTCCCCACGATGACTGTGCCAAGGGACAGTGGTAGCTGGAATGATGCCCAGATTCCCATGGCTCTTACCTTGATCTCCTTTGGCTCCAGGAAAACCAGCCAAACCTAAAATGAAGAAGAACTTTTAGGAATTTTTTCTCCCTTGGGCTCAGCCTACAATAGGGAAGGGGAATACTTACACATTGGTGGATGTGACCACGCATCCTCTTACCTGGCGGGCCTGGCTTCCCGGAGTCACCTTTACTCCCCTGGGCTCCAGGGGGCCCCATGGCCCCTGTGTCTCCTTTCACGCCCATGTCCCCTTTGCTTCCTGGAAAACCAAGGAGTGGAGGCCAGGTGTGCGAGGAGGGCAAACCCAGCTAGCAGTTCCCACTCTCACACTTCCCGTCCTACTCAAATTCCAAACCCAACACTCCTTGAGCTCCTACTTGGCGCCCAGAAGTGGAAGATGTGATCATGCCAAGGAACACACCACCTTGCCCCAGAGACAAGACATAAACTCGTGAGAAGTTGGTGGCTAGGTGACCTGGCATGGCCCAGGTCCCCTCAGGAGGGACCACAGCCCAGGCTCAACCAGCACTGTCTGGCTCATTTTAGTGACTGCATTTTGGGAATTGTTTTTTAAAGCCTCTCAGATTGAAGCCCGAATATTCCAGAAAGCAGATCCGAAATGCCGAGAATAGCAACTTTGAGTCATTGGTAGAGAGGAAAACATTGCAGCGGCTCATATTCCTGCCAGCGGTTCAGACACAGGCTTTCCTGGTACCCAAGATTTCAAATTTTCCACTTGTCATCAGCATTCGGGGCTCATCCTAGCCTGTCCTCTCCTGAGTCCTCCATTGCTCCCTCCTCATTTCCTGCAGGTGCCCAGTGCATATCAATTGAGGGAGGCTCCTTGCAGGGGCTGGGCACTGTGACTTCTTCCCAAACTGCGAGTCTGGTGGGCAGCGGGCTGCATGGGCCCCACCCGCCGGGCCTCGCAGGCCCCGCTCCCCACCAGCCCACTGCGGTGGCCGACACTCAGAAAGCTGCCCAAGTCCCATCATCAGCTGGTGCGAATGTGCCATTCCGCGCCCCGGGAGCGGAGTGGGGTGAAGGTCTAAGGAGGAATAGCTCACCCCAGAGCAGCCTTACGGGCTCTCGCATAGGCCTGATGGGATGGAATTTTGTTGAGAGGCATTTATTGCTCCGTTCTATGATTTTGGAAATTTTGGAGCTGGAGAGGACTCATGCATGACGCCAGCCTTCTCCCCAGTGAGTCAGGAAAGGGGGCAGAGGAGGGGAAGGAGGAAGCCTTTGTGGGCCTAAGCGTTGCGTGAAGTTAGGTGCAGGGCGTGGAGATGAGTCTCTGAGATGAGGCGACGTTGGAGGAATGACCGTTCCTCGGTGAAGACCATGCAGTCACAAGCAACTTTGTTACAGCTGAGGTCTCCTAACAGCCGAGGGTGCAAACAGCAGGGAAGGCCATTCTCGGCCGTTCAGACTGTCCACTTTGGAGAAGGGGTGATGGCAGCTGCCAGAAGGCGCTGGGAGTTGTTTCCCTGGAGGGATGTGTTGGCACCTGCTGCCGTGGTCCAGGACCATCAAGTTACGGCAATTGCTCAGCTGGGGTGGGGTTACTTCAGGGTGGTCCGGGCCTGCACCTGCGTCGCTGTAACTTCCATGTCCCCATCAGTGGGGACAACTTTGGGGAGCAAGGCAGCATCACGTCAGTGAGAGGACCTGACTCTGGCCCCTGCCGAGGAAGCACAGCTACTTATTTCTTCAGAACTTTCCAATCCCAGCTAAGCGGTGGAGTGAGGAAAACATGCCTGTCCTGGAACTCTGCCGTGGTGGCATTACTGATCTGCCGGGGCGAAGGGTGTAGGTGAAACCTCAGCACCGCCGGGGTCAGGTCTCACTTGGCTGGCACAGCCCCGACTGCCGACAGGGGCTTGAGCAAGCTGCAGGCAAGAGAGGTCTTGTGCTCTTGGGAGAGGAAATTTGGGAAGAGGTGGGGTGGGTTGGAGTTCCAATTTCTGCAGAACTGAAACTGCTGCATCTCCCCTTGCTGACCACAGCGTTTCCAGGCCTGAGTCTGGTGTGGATTGATATCCTCCCTGGGCGCAGTGCGTGAGCGTGGGATGGGAAACAGCAGGGCTCAGACCCAGTGGGCAGAGGCCTGGCTCTGGCCCCTTCTCGGGGGCTGGCAGGGGAACCTTGAGAAAGCCTGGGTCTCCCTCTCCTGTCTGCAGAGAGTGGCGGAACATGGGCTTTGGAACGACCTCACAGGTCAGCTGCCCAACCCTTTGCCTGGTGCAAGGATACCCCCTCAGCCCCACCAAAGAGAATTCTGCAGCCCTCTTCCCCTCCCGGGAGTGGGCTACCCATGTCCACCCATTTCGTCATGGGCCAGCCCCAAGTGCTGAATGACGCTGTTCTCCCTCTCACACTGCACCCCTTTGCTCACTGGAAAGAAGAGACCAGGTGTGCTGCTCCAGGGGTGCGGGTAGGTGGAGCACAGCCCTGCCCTCAGGCCTCCCAGTGAGCCCTGACCCCGCAGTAGGGTCCTCACCTGGGAGGCCCAGGTCTCCTTTGTCTCCCTTCAATCCGGTCTCCCCTTTCGGGCCAACAAGACCCCCGTCGCCTTTACTGCCCTTCTCTCCTTGGCGTCCCGGGGCGCCTGCAAAGAGAACAGCCAGTGAGGGGGCTCCCTTCATCCTCCTGGGGACAGGCTACGAGGCAAAGGCAGGGAGCACTGGGGAACAAAGGAAAGCGATTCCCAGAGGACGTGGGGGGTGTCATCTCTCAGGTGGTCTTGATGAGGTGTAATAGGACGGGAGGGCTGGGGGTGACTGTGCAGACAGGATGGGGGACAGCTGCCTCAGAGCATGGGGGGCCCAAGCACAGCAAGCTCAATTACCAGGGGCTCCCAGCTTCCCTGGCGCGCCCTGTGGTCCTCGCAGGCCTGTGAAGAAGGAAAAAAGAGCAAGAAGAGCTCAGTCCCTGTGGCCTGGGCTCTTCAATCAGCCAACGTCCTAGAGCCCCCGAGTTGGGCAAGGCGCCCAGCAGATCTCCCTCTCTCTCCCTCCCTTTCTCCCTTCCTCTCTTCCTCTCTCTCTCCCTCCCTCTCTCCCTCCCCCTCTCTCTCTCATACACACATACACAGACACACACACCCACACACGCACGCGCATACACGGTGCATACGACAGAGTCCCTGGCGGTTCCAAGCAGTGTTTGCTCTTGCTGTGGTTTGAGTGTGTCCCCCAAAAGTCCCTGTATGGGAGGCCTGGTCCTCGGTGCGGCAGAGTGGGGGCATTTGGGCCATGGGGCAGATCCTCCATGAAGGGGTTAATACTGTCTGGTGGGACTGAGCGAGTTCTTGCTCTCTTGGGACTGGATTAGTTGCCACCAGAGCGAGTGGTTGCAAAGTGATGTTGCCCCTGTGTTTGGTCTCTTTCCCCACAGGCCGATTCCCCTTCCGTTTCCCTGCCGTGGTTGACACAGCGCGAGCCCTCACCAGAAGCCACCAGACACAGCCACCCGATCTTGAACTTCCCAGGCTACAGAACCGTGAGCTAAATGAACCTCTTTCCTGTATATATGACTCAGTCTCAGGTTTTCTTTTATAGCAACACAAAACAGTCTAAGACAGCTGTCTTCCAAAGGGCGGAATGGCGCCTGGGCATGTGTCCTGACGGCCGTAGAGGAAGGGCTTTAGAGTTGGCGACTCTGTTGGAATCACAGCCCTGCCACTTGACAGGCTGGACAACTTTAGGAAAATCACTTAAGTATTCTGCACCTCAATTTTCTCATCTGTAAAATGGGGCTGGTCATGACCACCTGGTCCTCAGCAGGTCAGGTGTATAATTAGTGCTCCAAGGCAAAAATGGAACTGAAAAGCAGTAGTTCCTTCCCACGTGGCCTGGGGGTCCCAGGCTAGGGTGTGCAGTACAAATTGGAGGTGCTGGGTGTCCCTGGGGAGGCAGGGAGAGCTCTGTGGAGAGGAGTGAAGGATTTGATGATCCAGGAGGGAGAGTGTGACAGGAGGGAGGGAGGAAGGGAGGTTGAGGTGTGTGTGGAGAGACTCCCTGAGTGAGTGGCTGAATCACAGGAGCTTTTCCTGGGATGCCAGCGGTGCCCCGCAGGGGAGGCACAAAGGGCTCTGGGCTCCACGTGGGCTGCAGAGCCACGGCAGCCTGCCTCATGGATCTGCCTTATGTACGTGGGTTCCACGGAGGACTTGGGCTGAAGAAAGGGTTGCCCGGTTTGAGTGAGATTGCACAGCCCTGCTCTGAGCCCTCTGTCAGAGCCGGGCGATGGGCGTGCCATTGGAGTCCTGAAGAGGAGGGGAGACTCCGGCTCTGCTCCCTCCTGAAGGAAATGCCCAAGCTCCTGGGCTTCTGGCTTGTCCTTTCAAGCAGGGCTCAGTGGCTGCACTCTGGGGAGTGCTGGCCTCAGCCTGAGTCGCTTTCTCTCCGGGAGGAGAGGGGAGGGCAGAGACCCACGCCACTCTGAACGAGCCTGGCCTGTTCTGAGCTCCCACAGGCTGAATGTGTGAGACTGTGTGTGGCCGTGTGCACGTGTGTGCATGAGGAGTGTGAGTGTGTGTGTGTACAAGTGTGATAGTGCTTGTGTGTGAGTGTGCCAGTGTGCACAGATGTGGGCTCAGACAGGACTGTGAGTGCGTGTGAGCACGTGGTGTGTGTGTGCTGGTGTGTGCGTGCCCCGCACTGCAGCATGAACTTTCCTTCCTATTGTTTGCTCGTCTTCCCCCTCAAAACCTCCTCGGGAAAAGCCCTGCAAGAGACTTAGCATAATCGGCTCTTTGGGATTCTTCCTATTAAATTCCTTCTGAAAATCAGCTCCTGGAAGAAGATTTTCCCTCCTAACAAGTTTCCTTTGTGTAACTGGTGTTTTCTTTCTACCCCAGCAGCCTGGAGGCTTAGAGGCGGTTGCTCTGTCCCCGCCGCATCCGTGCAAATCCTCTCATCCGCTCTTCGCTGGGAAAGGTCTTACTGTCTTTGCATGGTTACATCTTGGCAGCCTCAATGCCTCTGGGAATTTGGAAGTTGGAGGGTCTAAGTGGACAGCGGATGGGAGCAGAGGAGTGCAGAGGATTTGATGTTTGGGTCTGCCCCCCGACCCTGGAGGGACAGCTCTGGGTCCTCACACCCTCTGACCAGGCCATGCATGGCCATTGGTAAGACGGCTGGGCAGGGTTAGGCTACAGCCTAAAAATGGAAACAAAGACTTTCCCAGCAGCAATCACGGGCTGTGGATCATTGCCTCTGACGCCCCAGCAGCCCTCTGCGGCCTTCTCATACCCGGGTAGAGACAAAGACACTGAGGCTCAGAAAAGTAAGGGGACCTTTGCAAAGGCACAGAGTTAGTCCGTGATGGCGGCAGATGTGTCAGACTCGAGAGTCCCTGTTGCACCAAGGAGCCTGGCATCCCCTAGAGAGCAGACTCCCAGCCCAGAGGGGGAAGTTGGAGCCACACCCGCCAGCCCCACCCAGGCTGAGGCGCCATCTGGCTGCCACTGCCCCTGGGGGCTGCCATCCAGCCCTGCCCTCCTTGCCAGAGCCTCTCAGCCCACCTGGGGGCTCACACCGGGCAAGCCCTCCCTCTCCCACAGACACTCAGGTGTCCAGACGCTGGAGCAGCCCTCAGCGGTCACTCTGAGAAAACCTGCTGTGTATCCCAAGCACACACCCAGCCCCTACTCACCGGCCTCTCCCTTGATTCCTGGTGGGCCCTGGGGTCCTGGGGGACCTGGAAGGGAAAGATGAAGCCAGGGTGAAGCTTGGATAAGAAGGAGAAAAAAATTACAGGGCCAGGGGACAGAGGCCAGTGCCTGTGGCTCCCTCGCGTCCTGCAGTCCCCTTGGCTTCTTTCTCAGCGGGGGCCCTGGCAGGCCTGGGATGCCAGGTATACCCAGGGCCCCCTTTTGACCTGGAAGACCTCAGGAAGAGAAGCAGAGGATGAGGCGACAACGCCCCTCGCTCACACAGTCATCCTCTGAACTAAATTTCACTGAGCGCCAAGGGTGAGCCACACCGTGTGGGAAGAAGGAAAGAAGACATCCCCTTCTGCAAGAAGCTCATGGCCTAAGAAGAAAAAAAATTGTGCAGATAATGTCTCCTGAGGGAGGCCGAGTCAGGCAAATCTGGGTCAAGTATTGGCACTGCCCCTTTGGCTGGGTGACCTTGTGCAAGTCACTTCCCCGTGTTGAGCCTCAACTTCCTTATCAGGAAAGTGGGGTCACTAGACTAGTGACACAGGGTAGCCCTGAGGCCACCACACAGAGACCCAGCGTGGAAAACACACGAGGCAAGCTCTGGATAAACGGGACCTGTCATTTCTGCAGCACACACCGTTGCCTACTATTTCCGAGACCGCCTTGCAGACAGGGGCTCACTCGAGTTGCACAACAACCCAGGCAGGCAGGATAGGCTTCTTCGTCCCCACGTCACCGAGGAGGGGCATGACATTCTAAGAGGCCCAGGTCCTGTCCGAGGCCACACATTTAGAGAGTGGCCAGAAGATTCCAGTTCGTCCGATGGCAAAGCCTGCACCCGCGCCGAGGCAGCACAGTGGGGAAGCCCGTGACGGCTATTTCAGAGTCCAATCCCAGTGCAATGGGTAGGGTCCCTAATGTTACGTCACCGTATATATGCAAGACTGCGGCCCAGAGGATGGAAGTAGAACTGGGGACTAGAACTCCTCACTTCAGCACGGGATCCCTTTCAGACACGGCTCAATTAAGAGAATTGGCTCAGGGTTTGACAACTGGCTCCCACGCACCAGCTGTGTGACCTGAATACGTTCACTGGGACTACGTTGGTGTCCTTGCCTGCACGTGAGAACAGCAGCATCCAGCCCACAGGTCCTCAGGGGAACGAAATGAGGTCCTGAGACATGAGCCAAGCCCAGTGAAAGGGGCTCTTGCTACAATGTTAACCAGAGGGCAGAGGCAAGAACCTCAGACGTCCCACGGGCAGGGACAACCCCGCTTCCTTACACAGCTGTCCCTCTTGGTGGATCAAGGCCAGAGCCTTCCGCCCCTGGCACTTCCAGGGGAAAGCACCCCTCTTCTCCACAGGATGAGCCCAGGCCCCTCGAAAGGGCTTTCCGGGGTAAGCCCCTAGGATCCTGTGCCCATCCATGTGGCTCCTCCCACCGCCTCTCGGGTGGGGCAGTGCAGGCTGTCCTGGTCCCTGCGGCAGGGATGGGTGCTCAGGCTCGGGGGTCTAATTGCTCCTCCAAACCTGCTCGCATGGTCTTGAGCAAGTCAATGTGCCTCTGAGCCTCAGTTTCCTCATCTGTGAAGTGGCGGTGATAGCAACAGCTGCTTGGGGTTAGTGCGAGCAGTCAATACTGCATAGAGGAAGTGCCTTGTACGTATCTGGGGTGGCCCTCCCTGCCCAGCATTGTCTCCCACCACCTCTCCCTAGCTCATGCACTCCAGGCATGTGGACATTCCTTCTATGCATTCCTTCTGACCGCAGGGCCTTTGCACATGTGGCTTTCTCTGCCTGGCCTGAGGGCAGGTCAGGCCCCCTCTATGCCTCCTTACCCTGGGAACTGCCCCACCCTTTCAGAGCAGCCACCAGGGCTGAACCCATGTCATACTCCAAGTTGGTCTCCTAAACAGGAAGTTCCTCGAGGGCAGGGCTCTCATCTCTCTTCCTCATGCCCGGCTTCCCAGTGCCTATGGAGGTGCCTCATCCTTTCGGAGCTTTCGATAAATATTTGTTGGGAGGAAGGAAAGAAGGCTGGGACAGACAAGGGAGGGGAAAAGAGGGACTAGTGGGTCCCCTAATCCCTTTCCCGGAAGCCTGGCTGAAGGGCAGCGTCCCCATCTGCATTCTAGGAAGCCCGGGCTGAGGGCGGTTCCACAGGCTGCCTCCCGTGAACCAGTCACTTCTGAGCGCTGCATCCAGCCCTCCTCTCTTGCCCACTTATTTGTCTCAAGGGGGCTTTACAGCAAAAGGAGGCTTTGGGAAGCTCCGACCCATGAGGCAAGGCACGAGGAAGGGGAGCGAGACCATAGTCTCCCCTGGCTGGGCCAGACCTGGAGAGGCAGGTGGTGCCCGAGGAGAAGCCCAGGAGAAGCTTCTGTAGCCCCGGCTGCCAGAATCAGCTTCCGGACTCTGGTCTCTGGGCTCCGGAAGAGATCGAGAGTGAGAAGAGAGAGACAGAGACAGGAGAAGTCAGAGACAGAGAGAGACTGGGAAAGGCATGGCGCGAGAGATTTTATATGTATAATACACATGCATATATTCATACAGAGAGAGAGAGAACGCCCAGCGGGAGCCTGTGTCCTGCACCCCGAGGGCGAAGTGGGCTCAGAGTCTGGTCCTGGAGCGCTGTGCCTCGGGTGACGGGCAGATTCTAAAGGTCAGAGTGAACCACTGGGTTGAGAAGAGGCTTAAGCATTGATTCTTTCAGCCAAAGTGACAGAGTTGTTGGAACAGCCCCTCCTCGGAGGGGAGGAGCCAGCATTCATCAGGCTGGGCGCGTCCAAGCATTAGCTCATTTAATCTTCCCCAGATAGGATTACAGCAATAACAACAGCAAATAATAGTAATAATAACAACAGCATTGCTGAGTCCTTTCTCTGTGCCGGGCACTGTACTAAGCATTTTACTCTAAGTTTTATCCTCACACCAGTCCTATGAGGTCCTGTCCTTATCCCCATCTTATAGGGGAGGACACAGAGCTCGGAAATGCTAAGTGACTTGCTCAAGGCCACCCAATCCACAGGGGCAGATCCGCGGTTTCCCCCAGGTCTGCCCCATCCGAGTTCAGGCTCCTGCCACTGTGCAAGTCTGCCTGTGGTGTGATCTGAGCCAACGTGGAAAAATTACGGGCCCAAAGTGCTCTGTCCCAAGAATGGCACGTATTTCTCTTCAGGGGGATGTCAACCACCCCCTGATGAACGGCACAGGCCCGTGGTGAGGTGCGCGTGCAGCACAGCACACGTGAGTTGAGGAGGGAAGTCAGCCAAACGAGGCACGGCCTTGTCCTCAGAGAGCACTTGCCAGTGCCAGATACGTTTTGCACGTTGTCCCCCTTGAGTGCCACAGCACCCCTGTGAGGTGAGCCAAATTATCTCCATTATTTTCTGCATGAGGGAGCAACTGAGGTTCCAGAAAAGGTAAGTAACTTGCCCAAAGGCACACGGCCAGTAAGCAGCAGACCTAGGACTAGCACTCAGGTTCGCCTGACCACACTGCATGCTCCTCTGTGATGTTACCCTCCCAGCATCACAGCCCCCTGGGAGAGAAATGGTCACAGCACCCCACCGTGATAAGCTCCACGTGGCAGGTAGGAGTCACCTGGCAAGAAAGCTTATGGGACAGGAAAGAGGCCAGTGCTTGCAGGCGGGACGCCGCCCGGGCTGGCCTGGGCAGATGCTAGATGTGCACAGGCGGGGCGAAGAGGGGAAGCCGCTTCAGGCAAGGAGAAGGGTCGGGCCCGGGGGCTGGGAGTCCAAGCAAGGGCAGGGCACAGAGAGGAGGTCCAACCAAGGACCAGAGAGTTTGCAGGGGAAGCTGTGGGGCCAGTGGGAGGTGAGTGTAATTCGGGGGTCAGGCCCAGGAATGGCATAGGCCAAGATGCCCTTAGGGGAAGGTTTTGGGGAGAGGGCGGGATGGCTCAGAGTGGAAATGAACCTACCTGCGGTGCCTCGTTCCCCTTTGATCCCGAAGAGCTCTGCAGGGGAAGGAGAGGAGGTGCAGGGGTGAGCTGCGGGGCATCCTCCACTTGCCCCCACCTGAGAGCCCCAGGCCCTGCATGGGAAGCAGGGCCCTCACGGGTGAGGCAGGGGCTCCAGTCAGATTGGGGGAGGAGGGTTTGGACAACAGGAGCCAGACACCTGGGTGTTTTTCACAAAGAGTCTTTGGAGAGAGTCCAGACCTGGCTCCGGGCTGGTTGCTCTAGTCCTGGCTGTTGGAGGTCACGCTTTGCCTGGGCAGGGCCCTTGGTTCCTGCCCCCACCATCACCCCTCCCAAGGCCCTGTCTGCAGCCTCCCATGGGCCTGTGACTTTGTGCCCACCCCACATGGCTCATATCCCCTGCCTTGTTCCCTAGAGTCCCAGAGCAGGCCAGGGTCCTAGAAGTCCCCCTTGCCAGGGAAGGGAATTCAAGTCTCATCCCAGGAACAAACAGCTCCTCCCTCCTTGTCCTCTTCTGAGGATTCCCAAGCCAGAGAGAAGGGGCCAAACCTCGGTTCCGAGTGAAGTTGTCTACCCGCTGCAGCAGGTGTGCCTGGCTGATGCGGACCTGGGAGAGCTGGGCCCGAAGGACTTGCAGCCCCGATGCACCCGGAGGCAGGTGTGCTGCGGGGTGCGCCGACTGCAGCAAGGAAAAGGACGGGCTGTCCTCAGTGGCCAGCGTTCCATTGGGGAGGTACATCTCCTCCAGGGCCCGGAGCCGCTCCTGCAGGTTCAGAACTGGACCCCGCCCACACAGCATTCTTTTAGGGACCCCATTGAAGCCTGAGGCATTTGAGCAGATTCCTGACTTTTTTTTTCATTTTTTTTTTGTTTTGTTTTGAGGCAGGGTTTCCCTCTATCACCCAGGCCAGAGTGCAGTGGTGTCATCATAGCTCACTGCAACCTCAGACTCCTGGGCTCAAGCAATTCTCCTGCTTCAGCCTCCTGAGTAGCTGGGACTATAGGCATGAGCCACCATGACCGGCTAATATTTTTTTTTCTATTTTTTTTTTTTTTTTTGGTAGAAATGGGGTCTCGCTCTTGCTCAGGCTGGTCTTGAACTCCTGACTTCAAGCGATCCTCCTGCCTTGGCCTCCCAGAGTGCTAGGTTTACAGGCATAAGCTGTTGCACCCAGCCTTCCCTGACGTTCTTGTGTCATGTATGTATAACTTCCATAGGTCCTGACTTTGTGAACACAAATTTCATGTGCTACCAGGACTGAACGTGAGCACACAGCTTTTTGTACATCTTGACCATGAATACTCTACAATCAGACATGACATTACATGTCCATAGAACATTCCTGCATGGCCCAAGTGTGTGCCCACTGCACCCATAATCAATCTCCAACCCTAATGCAGTGTAGACCTTGCCTCATACTTGGGGTGTGGACCTAAATATGTACAAGCAGCATTCATGTGTGACCTTAATATGTATATGACATGTATTTGTGACAACTGTGCTTGCAACATTCTTGAATGACTTCAGTGTCTGCTGATGGAATTGCTGCATGACTTTGACTATTAGACTGGGAATACATCAAAAGTAAATTCATGTTCAGATGAACACTTGGATCAACAAAGCCCCTTCCCACTCAGAGGCTGGGGTCCTTGATGTCAGATGCATGTGGCATTCCCCGTGTGAAATCACTGCGTCTTTCACTGCTTTAGACACACTCAGGCTCACCAGCGAGTTCTCAATCTCTCCCTCTCTCTCTCTCTCTCTCACACACACACACACACACAAACACACACACACACACACACACTTATACACAACACACGTTCCCCTCTTCGCTCCCCGTCACTGTGGCTGCTGTGGGCTGAGGACTCTCTCCCAGCAGGTGGGCCACAGCAGCCCCAGGGCACAGGACCAAGCCTCCCTTACCTCGAACCACCAGCAGCCCGGCGCCCGTGGTGAGCAGAATCAGGTAGATGGCCACCATAGCTATGGAGAAGTTCACCCCATTTCTCTTCCTGGGCTTTGGATCTGAAACACAAGCCAGGCAGAAGGTGCCGCTGCTGAGGGCACGAGCAGGGAGGCCCAGCCTGGGCCAGACCCCCTCTGTGTGAGCAGGAGCTCCCTGCGAGGCCGTGTGGGAAAGACACCAAACGTTCAAGACCCCCAAATCTTCCCCCGTCCTCCTTCTTGTCACAAAGCAAGAAGTGCCACTGTTGGTCACTCATTTGTGTAGCCAGGCAACCAAATACCCATGCCGTGTGTCATCAGCTGGAAGGGATTGCGTCAGCTCATTCTCTGTTGAAGCCCCAGCACGGTGCCTGGCCCATGTCGGGTTCTCAATCTAGGTTTATGGAATGAATTAACAAATTAGTGTGTTTAAGTTTCAAAACTCTGGGAGGAGGAGGACTGTTCCCATTTTACAAACAAGGAGTAAGGCCTGTAGAAGTTGAATAACTCATGAGGTTATAAGACACAGATCTGGAATTCATGTCCAGGTCTTTTTGTCTTTTTCTTTAGATTTTGAAATTAAAAAGTAAAATACGCCTGATATAGTTTAGGGTTAATAATCTTCCCTCAGCCTCCTGCGCCCTAACCCTGTGAGGTGAGCTTTATTAGCATTCCGCGGAATGTTCTTCCTCCCATCCGCCTGCCTGCAGAATCACACAAACCCACAGACTCGGAGACAGATTGGTTTTTTTCTTTTAAGCTTACACAGATGATATCATGGTACATATAATGCTGCACACTGCTTTTTGCAAGGAATGATTTTCATGAACATTCTCTAGTTTTCTTTGTAGCGAGAGATTAGCTGCCTAATATTCCTTAGAGACAAAACCACAGTTCACACAAATATTTCCCTCTGGTGAGCTGTTTCTAGCTTGAGGCATTACAGAGGAGGCTGTAATAAACCTTTCCTGGAGGTCCTGGCTCCGGTCTTACGTCAGCTGTCACCCCATTTTGTCTAGGGCCCTCCCCCTGCAGAAGACCTGCAGTTCCAACGCTCACATTAATTGAGTAGCTATTCTGCACCAGGTGTTTGCCATCACCACCGCTAAGCTTCGCCGCAACCCTGCAAGCTACGTGTGGGCATTGCCGTCTACAGACGAGAGCGCTAGGGCTCAGAGAGGTGACCGTGACATAGTGGCCACGTGGCCCCAGGTCTGTCTAACTCCAAGGCCTGAGGTTGCCTCGTTAGTCTACGCAGACCACGGAAGGGGAAAGAGATTTTAATCAAGCAGCCCGGGGTGGGGTAGGGGTGGGAGCACCATTTTTGCTTCGTGATAGCCGATGGTGGATTTTCAGCTGACTGTTCCGATAGATGCGTTCAAACCTCAGGTCTTTTTCCCGTCCCCCTGGGGACCTGTGTCATCCTGCTGATTCTCCTTCCTGCCATCTGCAGAACGGGAATCACTGCTCCAGCACCGCCCCAGCGCACGGTGGTCTGGGCATAGCTCAGCACCCAGAGGAGGGGTTTTGTCGGTGTATTGGCATTTTAGTTAGTGTCACTTGTTATATGCAGTCTAGTATGAGGTGTCCCTGCTCCTTCTTTGCACCCACAGGACCCAGTGGGTCTCACACGGCAGCCCGAGTGAGATCCTCAACACACAACCTGGCCAAATTATTCCCTTGCCTTCAGCTCTTTAGTGGGTGCTCACTGCCCTTGGGCAAACAATTCCCCCCTGGCACCTAGAGCCCCACTGGCCAGCTCTCCCAGGGCTACACTTCCATACCATACCTCCACATGGATCCCGAGCAGTGGCCAGGCCCAATGACATGTGCTTATACCCTTCTGACTTGGGGCAATGTTTGCCCTCTGAACACAGGACCCTCCCGGTGAATGAATGAGTGCCTGCAGAGGTTTGGGTGCTGAAGATGTGCAGAGTTGAACACTCCAGTGTGGAAATGTGGGAAGAGCATCAGGAATGCAACTCAGGGCCTTGGGTGTCCATGCAGCCGTCATGTTGAGGACGGGTAACACACAAGGGAAGCCTCACATTTAACACAAGGTGGTGGGTGGCAAATACGATCTCATGGATGGCGCTAAATTTGATGAAACATAACATGTGATGAGAATGGAAAGATAAACTGTGCTTCAGAGACACAGGTATTAGAGAGGTTGGAGGCAAGGGTGAGAGTAAGCATGGAAAACACGGACATTATAAAAACCAGATGGCAGGAGCATGGCTGAAGGCATTTGAGTGAAACTAAAGTGAGGACAAATGAGATACGGTAGTACTGAGGGAGTAGCTCATGGATGTCCACCCAGGCCCCGAATGCCTTTTAAATTCAGAGCTATCACCTGGCATAGAGGCAACGTATTGTAGAAACTGGGAACTTTGAACCTGCGGGCATATCTAACTCACTCCGTGCAAGGCGGAGAATTTGATGAAGTCTTTGCTCACCACACTGATCTCTGCATCTCTCAGAGGGCAGAAGAAACTAGAAAGGAATATCTATTCTGGATTAGGTTTGGCCAGTGAGGAAGAGCTGCTTGAGATGAGAGAATGAAAACAGCCTCTGGTAAATAAGAGCCGGCTTCCCTGGAGTAAACTGTGGTCAGGCTGGGCAAAGACTTTAGGGAGGCAGATTTCGGAAATCTGACAGCTCTATCGTCCGATCCACAATGAAAACATGGCTCTAGAGGGAAATCAAAACGATGTTTCAATTCCATAAAAGATCCCAATGAAGAAAACAAAAGGCTGCACACAAACGCTGGTCTTCCAAGGCCTGCCACCTTCCAGTGGCATAAGGTGGCCCTGGTAGGTGTCCCCTCCCCTGCCACAACACACCAGTGGAGATCAGGCAGGAGTCCCCCGCACCCCAGTACTGGGCTTCCTGGCGAGCAGACTCAGAGAAGTAGTGTGTGCCCTGTGGGCCTGAGGTGTCCCACTCCCGCCCTGGTAGCTATGGGCAGCGTGGGAAAGTGCCTCTGTCCATGCGGCAGCACCAGCAGGAGGCAGCAAGAACACTAACAGTATCAGGTGAACAAAGTAGACCAGGGTAGCAGGGCCAGGGCTCCGAAAACTAAATGGCCGTTGGAAACACAGCCCACAAAAGTAGGCCAGAGCCAGTGTGACTCTCTATTAAAATAGAGGATTTAAGTAGGATCCAGATTCTCCTAACATACTATACAAAACATCCAGTAAACAATGGAAAATCACCTGTCATACCAAAAAGAGAGAAAATCACAACTTGAATGAGAAGAGACAATCAACAGATGCCAGCATTGAGATGACACAGATATTGGAATTATTCAACAAGAATTTTAAAGCAGCTTTGACAAAAATGCTTTCATGAACAATTACAAATATACTTGAAATGATTTTCAAAAATCTCACCAAAGAAGTAATAGATATAAAAAAAGAAAACCAAATGGAAGCTATAAAACACCATTAAAAAAAAAAATCTCACAGCCAGGCACAGTGGCTCACGCTTGTAATCCTAGCACTTTGGGAGGCTGAGCAGGATGTCAGGAGTTTGACATCAGCCTGAACAAGAATGATACCCCCATATCTACAAAAAAATAGACAAATTAGCCAGGCGTGGTGGCACATGCCTGTAGTCCCAGCTACTCGGGAGGCTGAGGCAGGAGGATCGCTTGAGCCCTAGAGTTTGAGGTTGCAGTGAGCTGTGATGATGCCACTGCACTCTAGCCCAGGTGACAGAGTAAGACTTTGTCTCCAAAAAAAAAAAAAAAAAAAATTCTCTAGATGAACTGAATAATGTAATAAATGAGACAGAGGATAGAATCAGTAAGCTCAATGATAGAACAATAGAAATTATCCAATCTGAAAAATGGAAAAATTCAGCTAAAAAAAAAAAATGAGCAGAGCCTCAGAAACCTGTGGACCAGTAACAAAATACCTCACATTCATATCACTGAAGTTTCAGAAAGAATGTGAGGCAAAGAAAAATTGTTTTAAAAAATGGCTAAAAATTTCCCAAATTTTGTGAAAGACGTGGACTCACAGATTAAAGAAGGTGAGTAAATCCCAAACATGATAAACCCAAAGAAATCCATACCAAGACACATCATAGTTAAAAGTCTAAAAAATCTAAAGACAGAGACAATTAAAAATATAAATAAAAATTAAAAATCTTGAAAGCAGCCAGAGAGAAATGACACATTACCTATATATAAAGGAATACTGATTTGAACGGCAGCAGATTCCTCATCTGAAACCATGGAGACGAGATGTAAGTGGTTCAACATATTTTGTGTGCTGACAGAAAATAATTGTCAACCGTGAAGTCTATTGCCAATGAAAATATCCTTCTGGCACGAATAAGAAATAAAGACATTCTCAGATGAAGGAAAATGAAGGGAATTTATTGCTGGCAGACTTAACGGTGAAGAATGACTAAAGGAAGTCGCCCAAACAGAAAGGAAATCATGATAAAAGAAGACCTAGAATTTCAAAAAGGAAAGAGAGTAATAGAATGGGTAAAAATAGGAATATATATTAGACTATCATGAGTTTTTAAAATCACATTTGATTTTTAAAACAAAAATTATAATACCTTCTGATGTGGTGTTTGGTGTATGTATAGGAAATGCTTAAGATGATTATATTTTAAAAGTAGAGAAGGTTAAAGGAGGTAAATGGAAGTAAGTTACTATACTTGACTTGAAGTGGTAAAATGTAGACAGTAGTAGACTGTGATAAGTTCTGTCTGTATATTGCAGTACTCAGAGAACAATTTAAAACTGTTCAAAGTGATGCACTCAAAAACATGATAAACAAATCAAAATGAAATTCTAAAAAATGTTCAAATAATCCATAAGAAGGTGAGAAAAGAGAAGTAGATGAATAGGAAACACAGAGGAAAAAAATAGAAAACACACAATAAGATGGCAGATTTAAGACCTAACATATCAATAATTACTTTAAATGTAAATGGTCTAAGTATACCAACCAGAGGGCAGATATTGTCAAAGTAGATTAAATGACATGATCCAACTATAAGCTATCTACAAGAAATAAAACAATAGAAATTCAACATACATGAAGCAAAAAGTGATATAA